CTAGACAGCACACACCCGGGCCCGTCCAGCTCGGCAGCGACAAAAAGCAGGCATGGGGGAGGGCTGTTCACAAACCCTGCTTCCCCGCACCGGGCGGACGCGCTCGTGGCTGAGCCGCATCTCCCGGCCTTCCCGCACTAGGGCCCCCCCACCCCTGTGCTCTTGGTACCAGCACCGTGTTGGCTTTGTTGCCCCCTCACTGGTGCTGTGCCCTCAGCCTGGAGAGTACTCCTCAGGTGTCTTGGCCGGAAGGGAGGCCCCTGTGCGGGCCCGATGGAGCTCCAAGGGTGGGGCACAGGCCTGCTGATCCTCAGGCGTGGGGATGCCCCTGGCAGGCCCCACTTTCTACCTCTGGGCCTCGGTGCCCCTGCCCAGCCCCAGGTCAGGCTTTGAAGGCTACGGGTGCCCGCCCTTCCTTCCGTCCAAGCCCAGGCCCCTCAGGGGGGCCGGCTGGGCTTTCTCTTGCTCCAGCTTTCTGGTCTCAGACTGCCCCCACCCCCGGCTTTGTTCCTGTCCAGGATGCACCTGGGTGGCCTCTGGACCCTGATTGTTTGCTCTGGGGCCAGCTGGGCCACATCAGGGGGAAAGCAATGGCAGACCCAGGACAAAGCACCCGGGGGGTGCTGGGGCCAGTGTCCCCGTGAACTAACCAGGCCACCCTGAGGTACTCACCAACTTCTCCTTCAAATGGGAGGGGCACTGCACACTTCCTGGGGCTCTGGAATTGAGGAAGTGGGGGACCTCTTGCTTAGACTAAAGCAGGCCCCAAGAAGACAGATTCATGCCAGAGGAAGCTCCCCAAACCATCTGTAGGCACGGCAGCCACAAGAGCAGGGCGCTGACCCCCCAGCCCAGTCCCCAGAAAGATGCTCCAGCCCACACTGGCTTCCGGGTGTCAGACAGCAACCCCACTAGGAACTCTGTGCCTCTGAGCTGATCTGGGCACACGTGTGCAGATGTGGGAGCTGAGGTCCCGACAGGAGAGGGACCTCCTCCTGGGCTACAGGGTGGACAGGGACCACGTGCATGCCAGGGCCTGTCACTCACCACCTGAAGAATGGCTCTAAGCCAGGAGCCCAGGCACTGGTACGCAGCAGCAACCAGAACAAGCCAGCTGCCTTCTCCCCACCCTCCCTGCACCCCTAACCCCATGCCCTACCAGGCACTTCCCAAAGAGCAGGGTGTCTGGTAGGAGGGACCTGCAGGGGCCTCTCTGGGAGCAGGGGGCGGTCATCAGATTGCAGAGCGGGGAAGAGCCCCAGCCTGTCGAAAGCTGGTGCCAGACCTGGGGCGGGGGGGTGGGGGGCAGCCGGGTAATCCCAACTCCCACTCGGTGCAACCTGCCTCCTGCCCAGTGGGTCCTGGTGACCTGCCTGTCCTGTGCTCTCCCCCAGCCCTCCTCCTAGGACTGTGACCCCCTTCTAAGAACCCTGGACTCACACACACTCAATAATAGACATCCTCCAGGGACTCTTGGGGCCTTTCCTTGCTCTGGGTCTGGCTCAGATCTGGTGGCAAAGATGGCAGGCTGTGCCTGGTCACTCTTCACCCCTCTGACCCACCCTCACAGCCCCCCAGCTCCCAGGCCTACCGCCACACTCAGGCTGCCCTCCCATAGTATGAGCCAGGCCCAGCAAAGCCCTGACCTGGTATGCTGAGCTCCTGTTTTCCCCACAGCCTGGCCCTGACCAGAATCCACTCCTCATCTACCTGGTGCAAAGCACAAGACCCCTTCTATCTGCCCTGCCTTCCATTTAAAGGACAACCTGAAACCGAATTCAGGCCAAACCAAGGGTATGGGAAGCGCAGCCCTGCAAGGACAGGGCCAAAGAGCTGGCCGCTGGGTCACCAGGGCATGGCCACCTAAGGCCTAGGACCCCAGCCCCGCGAGACTGTGGATAGGGGCGTGTGAGATCCTTTTTGGATCTCTCCTTCTTGAGGAACATGTTTCCTTGCTTCCACCCATCAAAGCCACCCCCCCAAAAGAGGCTCTAGAACCTTCCCTAAGTCAAGGTGGTAACAGTTCCCTCCCCAGACGTGCTGTCCTGGGACAGGAAGAGCAAGCACTATCTCTTAGGAAAGCAGAGCCCCTGGCTGGCCCCACTGGGAGCCACCAGGCTGTGAGAGGGTTAGGAAGTCGGGCTACACAAGGACCCCCCCTGTGGCTGGCCTCAGTCTGCTCCGGAGGCAGTGGGCATGACAGGCAGGCGGGAGGGATGTTTTGGGGAGGGCAGACTCCACACTTGAGGGGCAGCAGCCTAGATAGCCCATCCTGTCCCTGCTGCCCAGGAGTCCTGGGGGGGGGATCATCCCTCCTGCCGCTGTGACTGGTGCCCACTGCACACAGAGCCCAACATGCTGGTCACAGCGGCCTCTTGCTGTTCCCAGTCGAACAACCGCCTTACACTCCAGCGAAGGGCAGGAGCTCCCACCGTGTCTAAGCAAGCACCCCAGGCCCCACAGCTGGCAAGTGGGGAGAAGCTGGAGGCAGCCCCAGTCCCAGCGCAGGCTTTCCCCTGCCCAGCTCTGTACCCCAAGGACTTGGGTGCTGCGCTCTGGAAGCTGGGCCACAGCGGACGCCCGCGGTTGTCGGCACTCACAGGCCACACCTCAACTCAGGCCGTGGGCTCTGGGGCTCCCCAGCTGTGAGCTCACTTACTGGCCAGACACCGGCCCTGGGAGGGGGTCTTGGGCCCAGGAAGGGCCCCCTAGGTCACTCAGTGTGTTACAGGGGGTGGTCCCACAGGCCCTTCCGCATGGGACACGTAGCATGTGCAGTGTGATGAGCCCCAGTGTTGTGCTGGGCTGCGCTCCGTGGATTCAATCATTCCACACAAGATGCAAGGGGAAAAAAGGCTTGACTGGTTTGCTTGCTCTGAGTGGTATATAATTACCGATTCTTTTTTCTCTGTAATTTTATATATTCTGAAAATGATCTCTAAGAAGATGCACTGCTAAAAAAAAAAAAAAAAACAGAAAAAAACCCAACCCTCAAGGCACCCCCTCCCCACCACTCCGTTCCCCACGGCGGCATGTGTCTGGGCTACCGCTGGGGAATGCCAGGGCTTCCGTTCTTGTAGGGTAACTTGGGCAGGGCTTCTGGGGTCTCAGGGCCGGGCATCTGGCCTGTAGCCCTGCTCTGCGGCCCAGGGTGGGACCTGGAAGACCCCAGCATCCCCCACCCCCGCCCAGGTCTTTCCCTCACCACATGTCCTGGCCTGTGAGCTGCAGGGGAGGGGCAGCCAGGGCCCTGTTCACACCATGTCAGGGGACCAGCTGAAGTGTCGAGCTTGAAAAGCCCAAGCCTGATGCATTTCAGTAATTTTAATACATTTGAGAATATTTAATAGAACAAAATAAAAAAGTACTGTCAGTCAGCAGAAGCCCGTGGTTGAGAGATACAGAAATGTAACTGGCCCTTTTGCAGGAAAGCTTGTGCTTGAAGGGAGAAGAGGCAAAATGACTTCCTGGAGGCTTCACATCAAGGGCCACTGGACTAAAAGCACCTCACAGTAGCACTTTTAGGTATATATGACCATCTAGAATTATCCCATAAAGTCAACAGTGTTATAAAAGGATCCTATTAGAAAAAGAAAAGTCATGCTTCCAGAATCTTCTCGCCTGTGGACCCACGTGCAAATGTAGGCGGCCCGGCCGGGCACCCCTGCACAGCCTCTTGTCAGGGAGGCAGAGATGGGCCCTTAAACAGGCTGGGCCCGGTCCCGGCACTTCCTGCGGCCTTCTCTCCCGTCACTCACCCCAATGGCAACCTCGTGGGCACAGCCCCCAGACCCCCAGCATGAGCTGCCAGGGCTGGCTCACTTGGCTAGGGAAGGGACCAATGTGTGAACTGCCAACCCAGGAAAGTCATCTTCTTCATCGGACAAAAAAGCACCCCCCAACAATAATAAATAAAAACATGGCCGCAGTCAGACACACTGGGTCCAGACAAGAGCACAGGCTTCCATGAGGGCAAATGAGAGCAAAAGTGCGACTCAGGAAGACCAAGTGGAGAGACATTTAAAAAACCGTAATTCTCACCTAACAGTCCCTCATCTGACAGCACAGGGCACCTGTCAACAGAACAACAGAAGCCAGAACGGAACCTGGTCAGGGAGGATGGGGACAGGTATCCGCCAGGGTCTTCTGCTGCGCTCTGGGGCTGGATTCTGCTCACTGAGCCTCGCCTTCCTTAGCTGAAAACAGGCATTTCACAAAAAGCCTCCAGTTGGGACAGCAGCCAGGGCTGCCAGGTTAGGGCATCTGGGCAGGGCTGATGGGCACTTACCAGCCAGCTGGTGACCGTGGGCCAGCAGGCCACACACACACATGGCCCACTGCACAATAACTACGTTCTTTCCTAGGCTACAGACACATCATACTCCTGTCTAGAACATCATGCGCGAGCGCAGAACCCTCGGACCCACGTGCTGGCTGGGCAGCCTTCTTCGCATCCTGTGGCTGGGGCATCCCACTGGTGGCAACTCTTCCTCGTGCTACTTTGCAGGCGCCAAACACAGTTGTATTCTAGAAGCAACAGGTCTCAACACTGTTCAAATCAACAGCTACTGTGTTAGGCGCACTTGAGACGTGGGATCCCTGTTCCCAAGAAGGGCTGAGTCCCAGCCTAAGAGTTGCCTCAACAGAACCCCTCGTAAGGCTTCGTTTCCACCGCACGGAAGGGGTGCTGGTGCAGCTGCCTGTCACTTGGAACCCGGAGGGTGGTGTGCGTGGCAAGGGACCAGCTCCCATCACAGGGCTGCAGGCCACCAGCCCTGACACCATCTGCTCTGGCTGTGGTCATGGCGGCCTCCAAGACCCTCTATCCGGTGTACCTGTGCAAGGAGACTGAAGGCACTTCCTTAAATTCTTGCCCAGGAGGATTTCGTCTGAGTGACTCAGTGACTTTAAATTACCCTGCTGGGCTCCCTCCAGCTGTTTGGCTTTTTCTCCTGCTACTTCTGACTTCATTTCTGGCTTTCACCATGCTAGCATCCAGATTTTGTTTTATGTCTATGTTTACTAAGACAATTTAACTTTGGTACTAACAGAACAGGAGGTATTTTCCCCCAATATTGCTCATAAGAAAAAAAAACTTTTTTTAACTAGAACTCCTTTTGACCAATTCTTTTGTCCAGAAACCTAAAGTCAGAGCTGGGTTCCCATGCCCCTTCCAGGCTAAAGGACAGGTTGGCAGCGGCGAGGCCAGGGGGCCCGCCTCTGCTCGACGGGGGCCCAGCCGCAAAACCAACCCTTCAGCAGCAGCGGACGCCACCAGCCGGGAACTTGAGACACGATCATCTGTTAGCTCAAACTGTAAACACCTAAATCACGCGGGCCAGGCCAGCCCTGCCACGTGGAAATCAGTGGCTGCCCCACTGCCGTGGTGATGCACTCCATGGCCCTCCACGTCCAGGGCCGCGGCCTGCTCTCCAGGCACCTCTGCCAGGCGCCGAGTCCCCGGCCTGGTTCTCACGGGTGCCAGAAGCCGCACCGGCGAGTAGTCAAGAAGCGCTGTGGCTAAAGCTTTCACTAACCCCCCGTGAGCTGCCCCCAGAGTTTCAGCCCCTTTCCCGAGTTGAGCCGTGCATGAGCTGGTTTTTACACCCCACGGCACTAATGGAGTTCAATATTCTCTTCAGAAAAAAACTCTGGCAGCAAACAGCGTGTGTGCGCCGACGGGTCATGTGCGCGGAGCCAGATGCAAGCCGGGGGCCATGGAGGCCCGAGTTCTCCTGACTCAGAGGCCCCGGCTGAAGGCTCACACGCTGCGGGGCGGCCCAGAGAGTCGCTGAAAGCTTTACGGGGTGCGTAGCTAATGGCGTCGGTGTCACTTGGTAACGGGGAGAGTCCTTCCGGTGTGCTCAGGTTTCGAAGTACTTGTAGATTGCGGTCACGTAGAGCATGACGCTCTGCCAATCAGGCCGCTCAGTCCGCACCATCTCATTAATGTCCTGGCGGAGAAGGAAGAAACCTGGTTAGTATCCCGGGTCACCCCTGGGCCCGTCCCGACGGGCTCCCCGACAGCTACACGGGTCCTTGCATGGGGCGGGGCCTCTGACTTTGGGCCAAGCCTGATCACACCCGCCGAAGGCCTGGCCGGGATGCCTGCTCCCTCGCTGCCAAGTGTGCCTGGAAGCGTCTGCATGGCCCCCAAGCTGCCCGTCTGTGCCCGTGCCCTGCCCCAGAGCTGCACACCGGGGCACCCCTGCTCCGGGCCACGGCCCTCTGAGGCTGGCTTTCATCTTTGGGGCCTCGATCCCTGTCTGCTTCTTTTTTTAAACCCCTCCGTGTGCTCGCTTCTGAGAGCGCTTCTCACCCCAGTCTCTGTCCTAGGAGAGTCTCTGTGCACCCAGGTCTCCCAGAACTCAACTTTCCAGTGCCCTTCACCATGGCAACCATCTGAAAGCATCAAAGACACTGCTTTCTAATTGTACCCTGCAGAATACCAGTCATCTGTGAGATGCCAGCTGGCGAAAACGGACGTGGGAAACCCAGGACTTGGATACGGGACTGGGAGGCCCCCAGAAGAGACCCGCTGTTGCTGAAGAACATCCGTGACTTTCCAGGGGAGCCTCGCTCCAGAGCACTGCTCTGGGAGGTTCCATGGGTGAGGCCACAGCCAGCAGGATGGAACGGGCCACCCACTGGTGACTTGGTATAGAAAAAAGAAAATATGTTTGTTCAATATAAAGATCTTGATCAATATAAAGGTTTTTTTCTTTTTGGAGGGGTGGAAATGGCCCACTTTTTATATGTTGGAATTTCACATGTGATGTAAAATACCAGGATAACAGAAAACATTTCAATAATGGTAACTTCGCTCTCTGTACAACTGAAGAGAGGACACCCTAAACAAGCCTATTTCTATCAAGTCAGAAGATACACTTCTGGAACTCTACACAAACTCTCCTGTTGTGGTAAATAGGAATGTAAACGCTCTTCAAATCCACCCAGCTGTTACCAGTCAGGGTGAGGGGTGCCCCTGGGGCAGTGACCTGGCCTCACGGGGCTCATACTCTGCAGAACTCCCTAAGCTGCGTGCTGGCCACCGCGTGTCGCTGGATTTGACACCACCGCCGTGGTCCCGAGTTTATATCATCTAAGTGTCGCTGGGTGTGTAAGGCCTGGCTTTGCATCTGGACGCAGTATCTTCTTCGGAAAGTCGGACGGGGTGACAGGGCAAGAGCTCTGACAGAAGCACGGCTGTTGGGAGCTACTGTGGGTGCTGGGCAGCGGCCTGACGACCCTGAAACGCGAGGGTTTTCTACAACTCACGTCTCGCACCCGAGTGGCGTTTGCCCAGCCCCTGAAGCGTGGGAGTGCCCGCTCGGCCTCTAAAGCCTCCTCCTTTGCCTTGCACTCGCCTCCCTTCTCCCTCTAGTTTGCCAAAAGGCAGACAGACCTGCAGGAATATGCCTCTGACAGTGACTTGTTATAAACTTGTTAGCATTTTTTCTTCTGAACCCAGGCATTCAACTAGAAAAGGTGACTCTGAGGAAGTCAAAGTTGCCGGGCTGTGGTCAGGATGACTCTACCCACCTCAGGCTGCTTCCTCAAGACAATTCACGTGAGCCATAAAGTGCCCATGGGACTGAGGCGAAACCCCTGCCTGCACCCGACGGGACACTTGCTCGGGTGGCCAGGGTGGACCCCGAGCCCCACCCACTAGCCCCCTGCTCATCAGGCCACCGCACCACCCAGGATCTCCCTTAATGAGAAGGAAACTCTTCCGAACAAAAAGGAGGGGCCCTGCCAGTGACTCACCAGTGTGGATTTGATGCCGACGCTCTCGGCTGCCTGGAAGGCCAGGGTGAAGTTCCTTCGCTGTAAAACAAACTGTGTGACTGGAGTGGACAAGGAAGGCCAGGAAGAGGGCAGCCTGCACTACTCACGATGCTGGGGAACACAGGACAGCCACCTCCACTTGGGACCAGAACAAACCTACACTGGAGCCCTCGGGGCCCCCACCGACCCTGACTGCCCCTCTGCAGCGCCCAGCTGCTCCTCCTGTGACCGTCCGTGGAGCAATCTCCACACACTCGTTCCTTCCTCACTGTGCAAAAGGGCCACTTTCAATACATCAGTCCTGAGCCGCCCGGACCCGGACCCCAAAAGCCGATCAGAAACACCTGTCAAGTGAGCTTCCTCCCCGGGAGGAATTTCAAGCGTTATCTGAGGGCAGGAGGGGACCAGAGGAGGGCTCAGGCCTGGGACCTCTGCCAGTGCCCATCTGGACGGGGGCTGTCCCCGAGCAGCTCCGTGAGTGGGACGGCTGGACCACACGGGGCTGGCAGGGGATGGCCCGGCGTGGGAAGCACTGCCCAGACCACTCATGCCTTGAGCGGCTCTCAAGGGTATAAAGCTTGTGATCCTAAATGTCATCACCCAGAAAGGCTGAGCGCTCCCACCAGGAATGCTGTAACTTGGGGAATACTGAACCCACCAAATGTCCCACACAAGGCAGGTCAGGGACTGGCTGGCTCAGCACTAACAGCTCAATCCTAGAATAAGACCAAGCTGGGATGGGGCCGCTGTGAGCCAGCACTGTGGCGGGGGGCCCTGCTGCTGGAAGGCTCTGTCTCCCCTGTGTGGTAAGGATGCCAGGAGCTGGGCTGTTTCACAGCCAGCCTACCTTATCTTGGCTGTTCAGCTCTTGATACGGAATGTGGGCCGGAAGGTACGTATGCAGGAGAGCGCAGAAAGCCAGTCCATCATTCCAGCTGCTGCTGAAGTTTGTAATGTCAATATTCTGAAGGAAAAGAAAAATAACGTGTAAGTAACACACCTTGTGATCTTCTCAGGAGCACGCTGAGGAGGGGGAAGGTGGCCTCGGATGCCACATGGCCTCCAAACCCCAGGCAGGGGGAGCCTCTGGAGAAGGCACAGTGTGCTAGGGGTCATGTCCCAAGACCGGCAGGTGTCGGGGACTGGCCTTCTCAGCGGGTGCCCATCCCATCCTGCCCACCACCCACAGGTCACTGCCCCCTTGGCCGCACACATCAGAGCCACCTCCCCCTCATGGGAAGAACTCTGGGCACAGGGAGCTGGTCTGGCAGCTCTGCAGCCTCGCGGGGCCCTAGGGAGCGAAAGTGCTATGTTAAGAAGTTATGATTCCGCCTGACCTCCCCTGTTAGGGCTCTAGGCACAAATTTATAGTCCATCAAAACCTCTCTGTTCTGAGGACGTCAACAGCTGCCTTCTTGCCTTAGGAGACACTGGGAGCCGACTGATGCTGGGGCTGTGTGCTTTCCCACAGAGCCTCTCCATGCATCACCTCGCATCACCTCGACTTTCTTGGAAGAGGTGCCTCTTTCCACATTCATAGTAAATTATTTGCAACTATAAAAGTAACATAGTCAGAAATAGTTGACCATATGATAACACAGTTTGGCTATTATGTGGCCTTTACCCTTATTTGCAAAAATCCTTTTGAAGTTGAAACTCCAGTTAAGTTTTGGAAATTCACACACTTTATGTAAATGCCACAGACTGAAAAAGAGAGCACTTCCCAAACACCTCTTGTCTGAGGCCCCACTGTTTCTTTCACGCAGACTTCAACTGCATCAAGGGTTAGCTCCTAGGGGACTGGGAAGCCCAGACTTTATTAGTGAAGGCAAACCCCCCACTCCTGGATACAGGTCGCCACTCCTCCCAGGGACAAGTGATCACAGCGATACAAATACTATGTGTATGTGTATAGGGTTTTACAAACTCTGCCATCCCCCAGGTTTACAAACTGTTAGGTCCTCACACCAAGTAGGGGACCTGGGGCTCATGGATGAGGGGCAGGTGGGGAGGATAGGACCAGGTTGGGCAAGTGGCCCTTCCGGGAAGACGGTCTTAATCCAGACTCACAGCTTGCCGTCAGTCCCCTTACAAAAAGAGCAAGTAGCATGGAAGAGAGCGGGGCTGAACTTTTCATCAGCCTCGTCACTAAAATGATTTCTCTGGCCCCTGACTGCAGACACCCAGAATGCTGCCCTCTGGGGGGGCTTCCACTCAAGCACAAGCCTTCAAAAAGGCGGCAGCTCTGTGGGCAATCATTCCAGAGGTCATTTCCCCTCGGTAACCTGATTATCTGGGGCGGCCAGTCTCGCCGATCTGGCCTGAAAGCATTGTTCAGAAACTGTGGTGAGAAAAATTACCAGATTAAAGCACAAAAGGATGCAAACCTGCCAAGAGTCCCAGGGAAGGTCTCAGTAAGCTTTCAGGGCCATCCGACTTGGCCTCTACGAGTGAGCCCGCCAACCCTTCCCCGGCCACTGGGGCCGGGCAGGTCCTCCCTGCCTCCAGGCTGCAGTCCCCACACTTCCTGGCCACGAAGACACAGCCCAGACAAGCATTCCTGTCCCAACCCTGACAGGCCCCCTCTGCGGCGGACAATGACAGTCCCCGCCTCCTGTGAGGGCGCAACCAGCGGTGTCCAAGAGTTACTGCTGATCGCTGCCACAGCAAACGGGCCTGGGCCTCTTTCATCTCATCGGAATCTCAGGAAGCAGCCAGCCAGGGGTGTCGGTGCCGGCTGGGAGGAAACTGGAACCAGGGAAGGGAAGTGACCTGTCCAAGGTGCTGGGCCGGCAGCAGGGAGGACAGGGTGTCATCTTAATCCCACCATCACCCAGGAGCAGTTTTAGATAAGGAGGCCCAGGTTCCAGAGCTGATTTGGGTGGTTATTCAAACTCAGGCCCGTCCCAAACCCGGCCATGCTCCTCCTAGAAACCCGACCAGATCTCGTGACAAGTGCCCTGATCAAAGAGCCGAGGGCACCTCGTACCATTGCACGGACGGCAGGGCAAGCAGCCTCTTACTGGCATGTCCAAGCCGTGTTGTGAGGCCGGTGGCAACATGTAGCCGCTGAGGACTCCCAGCCCTTGCCCCCGGAGGCCACATTCATTTCTGGAGGAAAACAAATCTCCACTTCCTGCCGCCGCAGCCCCCTCTCCAGCTCCCTGAAAGGCAGGCGTCTGGCAGAGCCGCCTACGTGCCTGGCCTCCCCGCGCCGCACGCCAGAGGCTCCTACAGCAGAGGAAACGGCTGCGCCCCAGCTCCCCAGCTGTGGGAACCCCAGCCTTCCCCAGCTTCCTCAACACAAACCTGACCTCAAGCCTGGAACCTCCAGGCAGAGCAGCGACTTCATTTACAAAACATGCCGAAGAAATTTAAACAATGAGGAACAATGGTTTCTTGAGTTCCAGGGTAGGGGGAGTTAACTTTGAAGCACCTGACAACCAAACTTCCAAAGACCAAGCCCAGGCAGGCTGGCAGGTGTCTCGGCCTCCGCCAGTTGGAGGGAGCCAGGCTGGGCACTGTACCCAGCAGAGGACAGCGAGGCCACAACGCACCGAGTCCAAGTGAGGCCTCTGAGTGCTCTGCCCACCCCTGTCCCTCCACCTCCTCACCCCTCCCAAGAGACCCTGGGGGAAAATGAGGCTGGGGCTTCAAGGGAAGTGGAGAAAAGCCTAACATCTGAGAACAAGGCTGCCACCACCCCAAGCCACCACAGTAGCACTGGGCCTGCGCCCTCCGCTCCCCACCTCACTGCTTGTTTCATTGTTTTTGAGGATCAGGGCTGAAAAATCAAACTATTGGGAAATAATACAGGTCGAACAGAGAAAAGTCTATTTAAACAACAAAGCCGGTTCTCTGAGGCCGAAAAGGGTGCTAGAAAATTCAGATAGGAAGAGGTGCCCTGGCTTCTTCTCTGGAGCTCTTGATTCCGCAGCTATTAATTTAGGTTTAAGAAGCCACCTCATTGCAAAGTTCAATTATCTGTAATGGTCTTATGACATCACAGACATGCTTTTGACATGTTTATTTCACAAAAGTTGTCTAGAAATGGACTATCTTTAAAAAGCGGCATTTTTCGGTGCATAAGGAAAAAACCCTTGACTATAAAGCCCAGGTGCACTTCTCTCTGGGCAGAAGGGCCCATTTACATTTTGCAGATCAGCGCAGGGGCTGCAGAGGGTCGAGGGCCTTCTACCCACACAGGTCCTGACCCCTACATGGATGGCTGCTTCAGCAGGCCAGCCAACAGCTTTAAAATAAACTATTCTTAAAGCCCCAAAATGGTGTTTTGAGGGGAATATGCACACTAATGGAAGAACTTTCTATTGCTCCCTATTCACAGGCAATGGAGCCAAGCTCTCTAAGAAGGGAACAATTTTCTTTTTAAAATAGGGACAATGGAACATACTAGTAATTATAATGTAAGTTTCTAATTAATGAATTCAGATTTTGCATTTGGTTTTCAGGTCAACTCAGGACTTTTCTACTCTTTCAGTTAAGTCTACGTTTGGATTAGGCAGACAAAAAGAAGATGGTTATGATGTGTGTCAACAAAAGTTCAAGAAAGCATTCAGCACAGACTCAAATGAGGCGCTCTGCCGCCATTTTCTCCTACAGGCGCACATCCTCCCATCCAGGATCTCCCATCTAGGAAATGTCCACCAAGAGATCTGACAGGGCAGAGGGACGTGGCCTGCTTCACAAGCCCATCTGCTGTCCTTTTCACTATCATAAAAACTCAGACCTAGACTCGTAAAATCGCCCAACACCTCACACCCCTCCTCCACAGGACCAGCTGGGCGTTTCCCACTTGCTCCTTCCTGAGCTGGGCCAGAAGCCTTCACCTGCTCCTATGACTAAGATATGATGCTGCCCTCTGCCTACAGCCTTCAGGTGGCCCCACTTTGGTGTGCCCTTGTATGCACTGAGAGTTGGGGGGGGGTAAGTGAGCGAACAAGTTACACAAATCTCCACGGAAAAGGATAAAAAATGTCATAAAACATCGTAAAAATGTTTTGTTTGAAGTTTAATTAAAGGCCATAAAATACACCCCCTAATACCACATGTTCTTTAAATAGTTATTAAGGTTCTGATCTATTTAAGGAAATGCCACTTTTATGGGCATAGGGCAAGAAGCCAAACACCATGATTCATCTCTCTGCTCACACCGATTTCCTTAGGCCCATCTCAACTGTTGACAGTGGTGTCACAGGCCCAAACACAGGCAGAGAGGCAGGGTCCTTCCCTTGGCTGAAGATACTGGGAATGCCACCTGCTGGGGGTCACAGCCCAGCCTTGAGGAGGTACAAGTGAATTACAAACAAAACCCCTACCCAGTTGCCTCAGCCCCAGGCCAGGGGACAAGGTCTGGAGGGAAATCTGGGGTATCTTTTTTTGTGTGGTATGGTAAGGGGGTGTGATGTCTAAAAGAGAGGGAAAAAACATCAAGAGACAGTATTTACCACTGCCGGTAATGTTAAACACAGAAGGACCCAGAAGACCCTGGAAGTTAAGCAAAAACCTGCTTGGTGCCCAGGGCTGCCACAGTGTAGCCTGGTAGGGCCACTCTGGCTGCAAATCTAAGGGTGTTGCCCTGGGGATTTCAGTGCGGTCTCCCTTACGAAGTTTAGCCAAGCTCTGCTCCAGGTCAGGGGAGAGGAGGGGAGGGGAGGAGAAGAAGGGCAGGCAGCACATGTCCATGAGGCTTGCTTATCATGAAGTCCAGGTATTGGGACTATGTGGTGAAGCGAGAGTAAGGAAGCAAGCCAGGGCAGACAGCCCAAGGTGAGCCAGCAATCCTGAAGACAGGGCTCTGCATCTTGTGCCCCTTGTCAGGGAGGGGGTTCCAACAAAGACCTTCAATCTTCGCTGTGCATCAGAATCACCTGCAAAGCCTTTTCAAGGCAACATGCTCAGCTCTACCCCAGAGAGGCTGACCCAGCTGTCTGGACATTATTTTCG